CCAATCAGGCCCCTCATGCTCCACAAATTTTAGTTTAATTTTTTGCACTGTGAATAGTCTTAACACTTTTGGCACTACATAATTGCCCTGGCTTTACTCTGAGCCATATTTTTGATTTTCTTATTGCTCTAAATTCACTCTGAATGAGTTTTTCTACTTGTGATAGCTTCAGATCTGCTGGACTTCACCAAATTATTCTTTAATCATCTTTTTTACTTACTAGATCAAGCTGCTACTTTTGCCAGTACTTTGTACTTTTAGCTACTTGAAGTTCTGACTTTACATAATTAAATATAAGATAAACATTTTCATTTTTGTAAGAAACTTACTACGATTTAATTTAGTTGTGAGTAACAAATCAAACTGTAAATATTATAAATTCTCAGAAACTCTTAATCATTTTAGTATTATGTAGAGACTGTATGTAAACTGGAATTTTTTGCTTTCTATCACTATCTAGTTTCTTATTCTTCTTGTTTTCATTATTTATTTCATGTCCAGTTAAATACAGCAAGTTGCTCAGATCTGTCAAGAGTAATTCATCAAGATTCATGTATTTCTCAAGCACAATAAGTGATGGCATACCCAGCATAAGAACTCTTTCAGATAACAAATAATCTTGTAAAGATTCTTGTGAGCTTGAATCTGCTAGACAGACAGAATCTTGTAGAGGCAGGTCTGTATTTGTCTTTAAAAGCACCTTAATAGAATTCTCAGGGTCTTTAGTCAACTGCTTGACTAGTGATTATATTACAAGAACTGCTTCACTGATTATCACTAACTTCTTTAATAAAAGTAAGCCAAGCATTCACCAGATCTTTTACAGTATTAGATTATCTAAGCTCAGATTTATCATGTCTGACTATTCTAATTACAAGCAAGTCTGTTCAAATATTTTATAATAGAAGTTATCCACTCATTTATATATAATATTCTCACTCTTATTTACTGTAGTATCATTTTTTATCTTGATATTATTCTCTGTCTCAGCATTAATAAAGATGTCTGCATTCTCTGAGAATTTATCTAGCTATATAGCTAGTTCATTCTTAAGATTGCTGAAGAAATTCTGTACTCTACTGATAATTTGAGGGATCATTTTATTTATCTGATTAAACTTGACAAAATGATTAAAGATATTTGCATTATAAAGAATTCAAATCTGCTATTTTTGTGTCTGACTGAGACAGTGAACTCTATCTATAGTCTGAAGAGTTATATTTGTGTTAATTACTAGTTCAATCATGATAATATTCAAGTAATAGTAGTGAATATTGACATCAAGTAAGCAAGTGCTATAAGTTATCACAAGAATTTTAATGTTACTGGTAGAGTCATTAAAGATATCTTGTATTTTTTGATGTTTCTGAGATAACTGACCAGTCTGTAAGAAAAGAATATTGTACTCTAAAAGCTTCAAAAAGACTTCAACATGAAATTCAATAGTTAAATATACTATAAAAACAAGAAAACAACATCTTTTAGTATCAACAATCTTTTAAATAATCTTGAGAAAAGTCAGATATTTTGATGTTATAGTATAAAGAAATTCCACAATTCATACATGATCTGCTGGAATTCAGAAAATATTAGTGTTGGTGATTATTCTGCTTATTAATTAGACAATTCCCTGAAACAAATACAGTTTTTAATTAATATCTTGGGAAAAATTGTCTTCACACTTGTTAACTGTTGACATGAATAGATTTTTCAAGATAAAAGAGAAGAATGCATATCTAAGTTATTAATAGATAATTATATTAAAGTCTCTACTAATATTATTTTCATTCTCAGAAGATTTCTGTATGTTATTAGCAGATTCTTTTTTTAGTAATATAATAAGATGTGAATGCATTCAGTAATACTGTACAAGTTATTTAATCTGTATCATTTAACATTTAATTATTTGCACAGTGTAACTAGAAATATCTCTACTAATAGTAATAATTTCTTATTTGCTTCTGAGATCTATTATGTGGCTAGAAGTATACTCAAGCTGAATACAGTTTAGAATTCAAGACTAGACAAGCATTGCAGAATAAGATAACTTTCTTGAGACACTTGCTATATTTGTTCAGAAAATGCAAAAGTAATTAGATATTATAAAATCTGGAGAAACTTGTGCTTTCAGTAATAAACAAGAGTCTCAATCAGATTAGATCAAGATATACTATCTTCAAATTTATCAATCTATTACAACTTGGAAACCAGATGGAAAGAATGACTCAAACTCAGAAAGATTAATCAAGAAAATTATGCATTACTTATTAGTATAAATAGGAAAAACAAATTTCTGATAGCAGAACTACATTTGAGTCTAAGTGCATGAACTATCTCAGACAAGTATATTTATATTGAATAGCAAGATAGTTGGCCAGCTTGTAATTATGATAACAGTTCTTGATTATGAACAGACAGAATATATAAGAAGTTAAAAGATTAATATATTATCTGCATAATCTGTAATATACAGTAGCATATTTATTAATATGTTACAGATCCATACTGGAATTCTGCATAAGATTTATAGCATGATTAAGATGAAATTACCTGCAATATCTTAAAAATCTCTGTCAAAAAGCTGCAATCTTGATAAATAATAAATCTACTTCATGGAGAATATCATTTATAGTGCACATGTTGTTCCAGTAACAGAAAACAAGTCTTTATACAGAGACAAAAGACTTTTTTATATAAATAACTATATTAACTAAAACCAGTATACAAGTCTATATAATCTAAATTTTATGAATACTGATACAGCACTAGTAAATAAGTTTTCCTCTAAACTTCAACAAGAGATAGTGAATAGAAAAGCAAAATCTGATAGAGAATCTGAGAAAAAATTAACTAAGTAATTAAAATATTCAAGAATACTTGTCAGCAACTGAAAAGTTTCAGTAAATTATTGAATACATTCTTTTACTGCTCTACTTAATAATATTGCAATGAATTATTTATGCTAGAAATGAGGTAGAACATCTTTATAATAATTATGTAGTCAGTTGGATGACCATAATATCTAGCTATACAACAGATGTGCATGTCTGTCAGACTCTTGCCATACAGCTAGATATATATCTTAATATAACTTTAAGACTTCATCATCTGTACTTTGTAACTATATTAACAAAGATTAAAGCATTTTTTACAGCTGTACAGAATACAGAGTAATTAGTTATCTAACTGACTAACTAGTTACAGAGTACTCCATAACTCAGTTAACTAACTTGTTAGTTAGTCAGTCATGTAACTTATAACATCTCTCAACCTCTTGCAGTAGCTTTACAGGCTCCAGTTCATGTTTTGCATTCTGAAACTTGATGAGTTGCATGGTTTTTTTCTAATTATTTATTACATGCAATTCAATTTGAGAATCTGTTATTTACTAAATGATTTTCTTGAGTAATACTGACAATAGTTCTCAGAAATACATTCTCCAGATAAAGCTGTGCAGCTAGCACCAGATTACTAGAAGTTAAAGATTAGAAAGTGTTGGTGATTAAACATGAACTGAAAATTAACCATGACATATATTGATTACTATATTGCTTTGTTGAATGAGAGATGCATCTACAACAGATATTTGAAGAGAAGCTTAGCATATAGAAGAACAGAAAGAATCTACTTGATGTTATTTAGCAAATAATTACTTAATATAATTCTATCTTTTATGATTATTCAACTTCTCAGGCACAATGTTGTCTAACAGCCATAGCTTAGAAATGCAATAATAATCAAAAGTGTTATCTATTCAGAAAAGAGCTTGTACATTCAAACCCAATTACTTTATCAGATAGTGATTATTCTCAGTTTAACTCTGTTTCTTCTGGTATTAACATTGAAGAGATTATTAAAGTACATAAACAGACTTGAAAACAATAGTTTCTGAATACTACTGCAAAGCTTTAATATGTGATTCTTACTGAGCAGAATAATAGCAGTAACAGAATAGATGATACTCTGCTTGAATCAACAAATATAATTGTCTAACATTTAGAACAGATAAGCACTATAATATGTAGTATGAAAGATCTTGTCAGCAACTGTAAGAGCATATTAAAGAAAAAAACAAGCATGACAGATAACTCAGCTCTGATTTTATATGTCTTCTTCCAACAATTAAGAACACTGCTTTAAAATGAGTTTGATCTTGACTGAAAAGATACTTAAATTTAATGCTTTGAACTGCTGAACAACAAGCTACTAAAAGTCTGTAAAGAGTACAGCTGTTTTCTGGTTTGAATCTCAACAGAATATCAGATAATTAACTGATACTGTGGCCTGAATATCTTATCAATACAGATTAACTTAGTAAAATAATTGAGAGTGTCTGAACAATAGCAGTACAGATATGATATAATGGCAGACATAATATCAGTAGTATATTAAGTATTCTATCTAATGAATCAAATGAGACAGAAGCTAGAAGAGTAAGTCTTATTATCTTTACAAGACATAACAAGTTTCTAATATTATATGTTAGCTTCATAACATTGCCAGTTTTGCATAGAGGCACTTTATGAAAAAGACTTGTAATATTATGATGAGAAAACTCTCTGAATCAACAGCTGAAGAGCAAAAAAAGACTGCTGTAGATCTTCTTTTCAAAAATAGCTTTACATATTTTAACTCAGAGAAAAAGATATACAATATCTTTCTAAGATGCTCATCTGATGAAATTTGTTACTAAGAAGTCTGAAATTGCAGAATAGCAAGAGATGCTTTCTGAACTCAATAATATATATTACTGTTGGTCAGTTTCTCTATAGTAGAGATATGTACAGCTCTGCCATGAATGAATATATTATATATCTTTTTAATTCTTTGTCTGCTGGTTGTATTATTTAAGCATCAACATGTTTATGCTATACTATCAAGAAGTATGAGACTGGTAGTCATGAATATATCAGATTTGAGAGTTAAGCTGTGCAGGATAAGCTGCTTTACAGATACTGAATTAATTAATTTGAAAGCTAACTAGTACTGTACTTTAATAAATGTTTTTGAACATCTACAAGCTGTTTAAAACCAACAGACAGAAGAACAACAATTATATATTTGTAAAATCATTCTTGACAAAGTAAGAGCTTATATGAGATGAGATGCTCAGAAGAAGAGAAAGCCTGCTGCTGCTGATATTATTAATAAGTATGAGAATAGTTTGAATGATTTGGTGGAGCTAGACTTTGTGAAAGATACTGGTAATGGTAATAAGTGCACATCACAGTATAGTAATATTGGGACTCTAAATGATAGTACTTTAGTTAGTCTGACATGAAGTTAACTTCAGTTTGTTTGATTGTACTAACAGATATAAATCAAAAATGTAGAGGCTTGTTGATATCAAGAATATTAACTTGACGCATATTCACAACCTTACAAACAAGATGTCTGATGTTAATGAAGATAATGAGAACAACAAAAATAATGGAACTGATGGAGACAACAGAAATAACAGAGATAATAAAGATGATGAAAAGAGCAGTTCTTATGTTCTTGAGAATACAGAACATAAGAAGGCCAGAAAATAATAATTAATAGGTAAAGCTTGCTAATCTAGCTGTACAGCATGAAATAGTCAGGTTGTACAGCAAGATTAATAGTATTAAAGAGTGTATATAAGATTCTGTATAATTATATTTTTTACATCAGTAGTAGTGAATTATCTGGCTGCATTACTAGATTTATTTTCTACAGTAAAGTTAAGAGCAGCAGATGCATTGTCACCTCTGGTGTTAGCAGCAGCAGTGTAAAATAGAACATTGATGTATTTGATGATAGTGTTATTTATATTAATTGTAACAGTAATTATATAAGCAACATCATCAGTAAAGTAAACAAAAATATTAATAATATCTTTATTGCTGTCATTAACATCAATATGAAAGAAAGCAGCTTGTGTAGATTAATGAAAAATGATAGATCTAGTAGACACAACAGAGTTGTTGAAAATAATAACATTTACAGAACATACTAAATTAACAGCAGATGCAGTAAAGATGCTTATTATATTAGAAGTTATCTGAAATCATAGCAGAGAAAAATACTTACCAGAGTGAGTTCTGTGCCTGTCCAGAGTGAGTTCAGGAAAGTGATATAAGTACAGACATTCTGGCCACCCAGACACCCAGGGCTAGCCCTGGGCCTGGTAGGAATTTGCTGATGAATATATTCAAGGTATAAGATTATTCATCTTTTGAAAGTGTACTTAGCAAGCTTTGTAAACAACTGATATTCTCTTAAATACTTCATAACTAATCTAATATACTTCTCATGCTTCTCTTCTGAGACTGAGAAGATAAGAATATCATCTAGATAAACTATACAGCATACATCAACCAGACCTGCCAGCACCCTATTAATATAGAACTGGAAGATTGCTGGTGCATTTAACAATCTAAAAGACATGATAAGATACTTAAAACTCCCAAACTTTATATAAAATATGGTCTTTCATTTATTCTCTTTTCTGATTCTAATCTGGTGGTAGACATTATAGAAGTCTACTTTAGAAAAGTAGTGTGCTTCTGCTAGCTAGCTTAGCATCTCATCTATTAATAACAGAGAGTAATGGTTCTTTACTGTAACTGTATTAAGATTATGATAATTAATACAGAGCCTGAGTTCTCTATCAGTCTTGGGTGCAAATAATACTGAGGACTCTGCTGAACTTCATGACAGATGCATCCAACTTTTACAGAGCTTGTTTTTAATATACTCTTATAGAATCTCTGTTTACTTGAGTAATAGTCTATAAATTAGCATGTATGAAGGTTTACAGCTGTCTTTAAAAATAATGAGATAACTGATCTTTATTAATTCCAGCAATTCTGCTGCTTTTTCTTCTAAGAAAATATTTTTATAGTCTCTCAACCACTTAGGCATCTTTATCAGGACTTGATTATCATCTGAGGTGAAAATAATATAGAAGAGTTTGTTTTTAATATATACTGTTTAGAAAAGTTTATCTGTACTCAGAAGTTCTACTGTTTTCTCTGAAGATTAATAACATTATATCTTGTTCTTCCAGTTAATATCTGGGTTAAAATCTTCCAACTACAGCATATCTAGAACTATATTCACATTAATTATATCAATCACTGCAAACATTCATCTTACTACTTTTATGGTTCTTATAAAGTTTATTATAGTGAGTTGAATCTTGTAGATACTATACCAGTCAGTTTCAGCTTTATTTAATATTTCAATAACTTCTATAAGTGTCTCCAGCTGATTCTAGTTCAATTGGAACACCAGTTTATAGAAAATACTGTTCACTGTAGTACCTGAGTTCAACATTGCAGCTTGTTCCATGAACCCGGCCCATCCAACAGTATAGTTAGTATAGTTAACAGACACATACTGTATCTGCTTGCCTTCTTTAGTAAGTTGATACTCTGTCTTTCCAGCATCTGACCTGATTTGTACATGAGCTTTGCAAGTCTAGTTTTTATCTGATTCTTGTTTTTTTCATCTGTTTGCTGGAACTTGTTAGAGTTATTTGAACAAAACTTTGCTCTATAATCTGATTAGTTATATCTTAGACAGCGTCTCTTCTTTATTTATTATTTGTGTTTCTCTTCAGACATTTTTAAAAGTGATTTTGCAGATGTCTTCTTTAACTGTAAGAGTTTTTCTTTGTTATTCTGTTAAAATATATCTTTTTATTAAGAGATTAAGATTTTCTGTTTCTTCTTATTTAAGTTCTTGTTATTCTGTCTTTGCTTCTTCTTTTCTAGAATGAACTTAATAAGAGTTGCTTGTTCTTATAGTTCTGTAACTGTTTTTAATTAGTGTTGTAATTTATCAGATTCAGTCTGAATAATTATTTTGAGCTTTATTTATAGAAAGAGTATACAGAAGAATTCATCTGATAGATTTTCTAGATCTTATTCAAGTTTGACAATATACATAAAAAATAAAGATATTGATTAATCTTTCCACTGAGTAGTATTATGATATTATTATATTATGCCTTGACAGTAAGTTATCTTGAGTTTAACATTGTTCTTATATCATGTTTTAAACTTTTTCTATAATGTAGATATTTGTTCTTCTTTTATTTTCAATATCTGCTAATGCATCTGGAGTTTATCATGAAAATAGCTGAATACTCAGTCAATTCTAACAGCATCTGTCAACAAACAAGACACACATGCTTTTTTTACAGCTCAGTCAATCCTTGTTCAAAATGAATGAAATCATATTTATTTGAAAGCTATTCCTCTACCTAACAACCTTTCTAATTTTCATGTGAATTGCCTTGCTGGTTATTGAGATATAAGTGAAAATAAATGGTGCCAGCCTCACACCCATCAGAAACACTTCTCACACTATTACTCAGCAACCATATGATCTTTTCATCTGAATTTTGAGAGACAAGCTCAATAACACTCTTTAAACAAACTACCAAATTTTCTTTACTATATCTCTACTATTTGTTGTGTTATTATACTCTTTTTAGCTGAAAAATCTCTTACTGGATACTCTCTTATTTTGATTTTCCTTGCCAAGACTCTTGCTTACTCACATTTTGTTAAGATGTGCCAAGCAAAGCTAGAGCTCTTATCTTATCTTATCTACTTCTATCTTATTTCTCTGCTTCTTCTTATCTGATCTTGGCTCCCCAGGCCTTGTACCAGCACTAAATTAGCCCTATCAACTTGATACCCTTGGTATAGCTGAGCCAAATTGATTCCTGCAAATTCTGACTAATCCTTACTAAATACTAGTATGTTCTATACTGTTTGGTAGCTGAGAAATCAGAATTAATTAGTGAAAAATAGCTTTTCAAATACTTATAGTAACTAAGTTTTTGAACTAGGAACAAGCTATAATATAGGTGATCTTGCAAATCAGAGCAGATTTTATTAATTTTTCTGTATTTAAGAAAAAAATCAAGCTAGATTTCTAGTGACTTAACAGATTTGCTATCTTTTCCATCTGATAAAAAATATGCTAGCTTTCTGGTGCTGCTACATCTGAAAAAACCAGCTGCTCTTCTCACTTTTCTGCTTAGAATATATCTTATTTTTATAGTATTGGCTTTTGCATCTTGAATGTGAGTCTTTACTACTAAATTTAAGAATATTCTCAGCTGGTTTCTGAAAGCTTTCCTGCAAAAAGCTCTCTAGTTTGATACTTCTTGTCAAAAGGTATACTTGCTAGTATTAATTTAACTAATTTTTAAGATATAATTGCTCATATCTCTTAGATTTACTAGCTTACTCTCTTGCTCTCTACTCTTTCAATAGTTTTTTCATAGTTTTTATTCTAGAAGCTGTTTCTGTGATTACAGTCTTTAAAAGAAACTATATAGTTTGCTAGTTCTCTCAAAAAACTAGTCCAGAATTTAATAGATGTAGCTCTGACTAAAGAAAAATTTACTACATTAAGATTTTCAGCTCTCAGTAAAACAACTGAACTAGTTTGAGTTAACTAGTAAGTGAGATATAAAATAACCTCAGAAGATCTTCTTAAGAAAGTAATTTCAAAAGATTATCTTCTGTTTTCTTATTCAAGAAGATACTTTTTAAAATATAGTTAAAATACCTTCTACTTCTGATTCTTCTTCTGAATTTAAACAGCGAGATCTAAAGTTAATTCTCAAGCTTCTTGCTAAAGAATCTTGGAAGAAGAATCATGTTCTTGTGCAAAAAGAACTAAATGCTTGTATTTTGAGTATTTAAAAAATCTTTTCTTTTAAAGAAAAAAAAGATACTACTGTTTTTGAGAACTCTGAACTTCAAAATCTTGAGAAAAGAATTATACAGCTTGAAAATCAGAAAAAAGCAGTTACTGACAGTAGTAATACTTTATAAAGCTGCTCTCAAGAGAAAGTATCTGCTAGTAATGCTTCCAAATCATATTCTTCTGCTCTAAAAACTAGACTAAATACTGAATCTTCAGTTAAATCTTCTTTACTCTCTAAAGTAAATGGTAAAAAAGATAAAAAACAGTTCTCTGAGCCAAAACTCTTTAGAGAAAGAAGACTAATTCTCAAGCTAAATACTTAAGTACTTGAAGAGATCAGTAATAAAGCTTTTTTCTTCAGGAATAGAATAAATAACAGCTTCACTAAAGCAAATATTACTGAAAAATCAGTTATTTCTTTAATTGCTAAATCATTTAGAGACCAATCTCTATTTCTAATAATAACAGAAAACTTTTCAGCTGATTTTCTTCAAAAACACAAGCAAACTTGAATATCTATATTTTCAGATCTAATGAACTTTGATATAGAAAGCATGAAAATTCATAAAGATAAGCACTAGAGAGTCTTTGTAGTTCATGGTATCTCTACAGAAATCTTTAATATAAAGAATAAATTATCTCTTTTAAAAGAAAAGATAGAAATTTTTAATTCTATCTCTTTAAAAAAAACTCCAATCTGGCTATCTTCTGCTGAAAATAAAGTACAGAAAAGACATGCATCTGCTGTCTTTCATATTCAAAATACTACAATAGCTGAGAATCTGAAAATAGTTATGATTGCTGGACAGAATCTTAAAGTTTATCAATATAAACAGTC